CCTGTGGCAGGGACCTCTGGGCACGTTCAGTCGAAAGAAATGCCCAAAGCTGCAGTGATATAGTCCTTAGCTTGTTAGTAGAGTTCATTAAGTGCTGTCTGTCTTCTGAAGCACCTGCTGTCATTGATGATTTTTACTGTATTTAAACTTCCCGTAGCAGACCAGTTTGCAAGCTTGGAGTTCTCTGTGGTTTTATTCATCCTAAATGTTTCCTTCAGACAACCATTTGGTTCCCTTTAAAAAGTGGAAGTTCTGAGATTTCTCCTCTCTGTCCTTTCCAGGATTCATTTCACTGAACCGAGGCGTCTCGGCGCGGGGTGCTGGGTGCTCCGTGGGTGAAGGCAGCGCTGGGGCCGGGCTGCCCGACCCGGGCTGGCTCTTGGCCACCACCTGGCGCGTTCCGTAGGCCACGGGGGGGGCTGTGCTCGCCGCCGCCCTGCAGCCTCGTGCCCCTTAGAAGGAGGAACCAAAGTCTTCACCTCTTCTGCTGGGCTGCCGTGGGGCCCACCCAGCGCATGTCCAGCCCTCGGTGGCTTTACCACCGCGCTGGAAGTGTCCCCTTTGCCAGGAGCGTGTCCTTTGTCACAGCTCCTGCGGAAGAGTCGGCCGCCTTCCCTGGCCCTTTGTCCCTCTTTGTCCCTCTCCGGTTCGGGGGCGCAGCCCCTTTATGACGCGCTGCAGCCAGATCCTGGGCTCCGAACTGCAAAGTCTTGGAGGCCCAAAGAAGGGTCTGAGCGTGCGCTGGAACTTTTTTTGTGGGTACATTTCCTCCTGCCCTCCGTTGCCAAAAAAAAAACGGAGATACCTTGGGTGGGGGGGAGGTTTCTCTGGGGTGGATTAGGTAGGTGGCATTGGTAGGTGCGAGTGTTAGTGGGTATTGGCGTCTCATCAAGGGAAAACCCCTCATACGTGTGATGTGAGACTTCCTAAGTCAACTCTTCCATGTTCGAAGTCATCAGGCTGCTGCTGCACCCTGTGAGATTCTCCTGCCCAGGCTCAAGCACCCCAGAGCTCACGAGATGGGTTAAGAGCTTCTGCAGGGCGGCCCCTCCAAACTGCAGCGTACGAGGTACCAGCCGAGGGGGAGGATTTCCATACATTTATTTAGGATCTGCCCATTATCTGTCTCAATCCCTCTCCTCCCAGTCTGGCTAATTCTTCCCTCCTGGTGTTTCAGCGCTAATGGGAATAGTACGTGCTGGTCCCCATGAAGATCCGAGTCTAGACGTCCATCCTCCTCTAGAAAACATCTGAAGTCAAGGACGCGCGGCCCTACGAGCAAGGGAAACAGCTTTAATTTTTGTACGTTTCCAATACTAGATGCAAACCCAAAAATAGAACAAAAAACTTTCTTTTGAAACATCCCTCCCTCCTCTCCAGCACGACAGCCTTTGAGTTTCTCAAGGGAGGTGTGTTGTGCGTTGTCAACTCAAGGCCACCGGTTTTTAAAAGGCAGGCGCCGTCCTCCCCTTCTGCCCCGGTGTTTTGAGATGCTCGTGAGCGGCTCGAACGACCGCGTTGGGAGTAGCTGAAGTGGCAACATGAAGGCTGCTCTCAGGGTGCTCTTGCCGTGCCTGGCGCTGCTGCTCCCCTCTGCAGCACTTCCAAGCAAGGGGAGGGCAGGGGAAAGGATTTCCCCGATTAACCGGCTGGAGCTGAGCCCGCCAGAGGAGCTGGGGCTTGAAGCAGAGGGGAGAAAGAGAGAAAACACAAGTTTACAGGAAAGGGTGAGACCCAGCTCGGCGGCAAGATCAAGGGTGACCGCTGCTGCTCGCCTCTTCCCTAAGGCTGGCCCAGGAGCAAACTGCCTCCTGGGGGTGGCTGAGGATGGGGGCATCGGCTGGTCCAGCTCCAGCCTGCACCCGTGGCCACTCGGGGGGCTGGAGGGGCCCGTGTGCCGGGTGAAAATGGACCAGGATGGGCCGACCTCGAGGCACCTGGAAGTTGTGGGTGTTCTCACCCACTATGAAAGCAGCTTCATCAAGCTGTTGAGACAACGCACGAGCTGGGACGAAAGCTATCTGGAGACCTTCGGGCTCTGCCCGGCCGGGGAGGCGGGTGCTGCTCTCCATCCCCTGAAGCACATCCACGCTCACGTGGTGGAGCCGGGGCAGGATCGCTTCCTCGTGCTGCATCTGGAAGAAGGTGGGTGAGAAAATCCCCACGCCAAGGCTGAGCGGAGCGGGGGCGAGCGCAGGACTCGGGGAGGCCGATGCTGTTTGCTGGCCTTAGATCAGAGAATTAAAGACAGAATTAAGCGTGTGGGGTTGGGTTCCTTTTAAAGTTAGCAAAGCAATACAGTAAAATGTGTTTCTGGGTACATTTTTAAGAAGCTTTCATAGGGGTGACAGCTGGCGTGCAATGGGGTGCCTTGTCCCTGCCTGCGACTAACGCTCAGGCGCCGCAGTCTCGGTGGCTTCTGCTCTGCTGTCAAGATTACAAGCGTTTCCCACTTTCTTGCCATAAGGACGCGGGTTAGGACCGTGTCCCAGCTCTGATCGGGAAAAGGGAGGAGAGGG